CGTTCTGCACGCTGCATTGAGCAGCTGCGTTCAGTTTTTATTAATAGCGTCTGTTCTTTTACTGAACTAAATGATTTTTATTACAATTAAAAAATCAAAACGACGGTGGGGGTCGGTGCCGCGGTGGGCAAGTGACGTAACCGGTGTTGCGGCTTAACAACGGTATCACCGTCAGCACCGTCTAGCGCGGCAAGCCTAATATACACGCATCATATTGTTGTGCATTTTAATGTGAACATTCAAGCGCAAGAGAACTCAATTTGGACACATCTAAACGGCACTCGTATAGTGTGCAAATAACGAATTGAGTTCTCTTTCGCATCGTCTTGTGCTTGAACTGACAAATATACACAAAATGACGTTAAAATTAGTGCTGTCAATCAATTAAAAAAAATGTATTGCACATTTTCATGTAATTAATCACAATTAATTGCATATTAATATATTTATATTGTTATAATTTCACATTGAATCCCTGAATTAGTGTAGAAACAACATAAAGATGGTATATTTTAAATATGTGACCCTGGACCACAAAAGCAGTCTTAAGTCGCTGGGGTATATTTGTAGCAATAGCCAAAAATACATTGTATGGATCAAAATTATAGATTTTTCTTTTATGCCAAAAATCATTAGGATATTAAGTAAAGATCATGTTCCATGAAGATATTTTGTGAATTTCCATCTGTAAAAATATTAAAACTTAATTTTTGATTAGTAATATGCATTGCTAAGAACTTCATTTGAACAACTTTAAAGGCGATTTTCTCAATATTTTTTTTTTTTGCACCCTCAGATTCCAGATCTTCAAATAGTTGTATCTCGGCCAAATATTATGCATAATCAAACTATATTACGCATAAACTAAACAATATACTAACAAACCATACATCAATGGAAAGCTCGTTTATTCAGCTTTCAGATGATGTATAAATCTCAATTTCGAAAAATTGACCCTTATGACTGGTTTTGTGGTCCAGGGTCACATATGTGTTTAATGGCATCTTTTTACTAAGTAGCCCATTATTAATGAAGACCAGTATCATTGATACCAATACTGCGACTGATGCCTCATATAGATGAATCTTTATTCAAGCTACAAAAGTGAATCAGCGAGCAGAGCAGTGACTGATTCTCTTTTCTTTTGTTCTCTGATTTCCATCAATGACAGACTGCAGGAGGTTTCACTTTAAAAGCAGCGCTGTCTCTTTAAAACCTGACGCACATGACGCAGATCTGACACCATTGTGGTTCTCTCTTTACGGTCATTTAGGACTTTTTAACTCATTTAAGACAAGGTTTACGAGGTCACTCACCAAAAATGTGCATTTTGACAAAACGTTGTGTGTTTTTGTCTGTGAAAGAGAACTCAGTGCTGCATTAATTGTGTTATATATTTTTTACGTGTTAAACTGAAAACAAAAAAAAATTATCGCACAATTAACGTTGTTGTGTGTTTTTGTCTGTGAAAGAGAACTCAGTGCTGCATTAATTGTGTTATATATTTTTAACGTGTTAAACTGAAAACAAAAAAAAATTATCGCACAATTAACGTGTTAATTCTGACAGCCTTAGTTAAAATACACTCGTGAAAACACAGTTGGTTTTGTCTTAAGTGAATGTAAACAGTTGAGAAAGACGACGCATGTGCATCAGTGTATATTGGATCCGTGCATTCGGTCTTAAAGTGACAGCAGTCAATCAAAGAACATAAGTAAAGAAAAATCACTCCCTGATCTTGACTGAATAATTTTTCTAACTTTAATAAAGATGAATCTACATTTTATTTATAACAAAAAACCTACAGTGTTATTTTAAATTTGATTTCAATTTCTGTATTGTATTATTTGTGCTACTGCTAATTCGTTTATTGGTTCTTATTTTAGTTTTGTACTGACTGTCTACTTGTCTTTAATAATATTGACAATCTTTATTAGTTAGTCTAATTGTTTTTGCCGTGTTATTTTTGTTAAAACCATAAGCAAAAGTTCCTTTTTGCTGCTTATTTTTTATTCTGTAGGCTGCTGATTTTTGTTCATGGGATTCAACTGCAAAAGAATGCTTGCAAAAAGACACAGAATAAATGTGTTTTATATCTAAATGCTTTACCCTATTGGAATCAAAACCGGTAAGAACTGGAACCGAAAAGCAGAATTGGAATGGCCAAAACGATCCTCAAACCTACATACTGCATTATAATCAAGCAATCCTGCTCTGCAGTAAATCAGCGCTTGACCTGACGAGTTGATCTACACGTGCGTGTGAAGGTTGTGTTTGTGCAGGCGATTCACCTCGGGTGACGCAGGACGAGGTGGCTCGTTGTTCTCACTGTCTGTAGAGCTGCTCTCGCTCTCACTGTCAGAGCCGGAGCTGCTCTCCGAACCGCTGTGACTGCTGGTGTCGTCTCGATCAGGAGCCTCGCTGTTATTACTGTTGTTACTGGGGTAGACATACACAATTATTATCTTCTTGTTGGCTACATCTTTCCTCATGCATTCACTACAACTTTGCAAAGGCACAAATCCAAGTGAGATGATGACAAAACACACCTTGATCAAGTGTATTTACCATAAGCTTCCATAATGAGCAATGTGCATCTCTTTACCTGTCATTTACAAGATTCACGTAGGGCCGTTTGCACCAGCTGTGCGCAAGTTACAACTTAGCCTATTACCCTTGCCTAGTTTGGACATAAAGTGGCACTACGTTACAACATACACACTACTAAATGCACTACTAAACTTTGCAGAAATTTAACTATGTATAAACTAAAGTCCATGAGCAGGAGTAATAAAATAGCAGACTGACTGAATTGCACCAATGAGCTCACGTTTTACTTCAATCTCTTAGACACATATGATGAAGATGAAGATAGCATCTGCACTCATTTACATTTTAAGAAAGAACACATTATGTGAAAAATTACTTTGTTAATGGCCCTTCAACACAAACCCGATCTAAACAGCGCTCCTAAAATCAGTAATAAATTAGCTTTTTTTTTTGTATCAGTATTTACTTATTGCTATTCATTTCAAATACAGTTTCTGAATGTTATTTACATCATTTAGGGCTGTAAAAAAATTTGTAAATTTTCCGATTAAAATAATTAACTCAATTATTTTTTTAAAGACATGCAGGTGTATAGTAATTGCTGAAATAAGTAAAATTATTCATTATAAATAAATATAAATAAGTAATATTATTTAATATTATTATAATAAGGACCTATACTCACATAAAAATATTGATTGACGCATTTCAGGTTGTGCTGCTAATAGGAAAGGTAACTGTACTTTTTTTTTTTTTTATTCTTTGTGCATTTAAACTGCTTTATGATTAACCTATATGTGATGTTTGATTATGCGTTATGTTTGATGCATTTCAGGTTGAACTGCTAAAAGGAAAATAAACTTTTTTTTGGTGCTAACTAACTAAAACCAAAGGTTTTAACAAGTAATTTTCTTATTTATTGCAAAAATGGATGTGCAAAATAAAATTACATCCCTATATTACTACATACACTATAAACAACATACTATATTAAAGGCATAGCTAAATGTGACATTTATTATAATGGATTTATGTGAAGAATGTTCACTTAAATACCTCACATAAATTAAGTTACAATATTCTTTTAATGTTCTGTAACAGTTTAGTACTTAGTAAAAAGAAGCTATTATACAAAAACATATATACTGCCATATACTGTTGATTCTACATTAAAAATTGTTATCATAATTATATTTTCACATTGAATCTCCTAATTAACGTTAGGTGCGATTAATCAGTCACAGGAAAATGTTTGATTAATTAGTTAATGTTTTAACTGACAGAACTAATAAAAATTCTTACAATGTTTTTTTAAGTGGAAATCAATGGAAGGCCATTTTTACCATTAGCTGCATGATGCAAAAGTTGTTAGAATCAAGGATAAACTGAAATTTACAGCATGTTAATATAACTTCTGCATGTGTTTGCTATTGGATCTTTGAGGGTAAACATCATATCTCACTATGCATTACTTTTTTTAGAGCTTATGACCTACCTACATTCTGCCTTAAGAACAAATGGTGCAACCAAATAAAGTACAGTTAATAAACCAGCTAGTAGTTACTAAGTCTCTAGCATGGACTTTAACTGAAGTAAGAACTTACGAACGGCTGGTGCAAACCTACCTTAGAGATTGTAAAGTGTGTGGAGGCTTTTGCAAATTACTCAAGACAAGCTCAAGTAACGTCATAAAAGGAACGTATCTTTGAAACGTGTTTCTTGATTAAGTTTCTGACAGAAGCAAAGCGCATAGTGCAAGACACTGAAATACCATACTACAGACTTTATTGTCCCAAAACTCACCAGCAATCAGTGGGATTCATTTTGACAGCACCAAAAAGAAATGGATTTCATTTCTTTCACGCATGTATAACATCATAGCACATTTCAGATAAACTTGCCCCTAAATCCCACATTTCAAACTGTGTTTAGTTGCTTCACATGTTGGTCAGACTGTCCCTTCCTGTCTAAGCAGGCAGTTCTCGGCCGGAACAAAATGCATTATAGTCCAGAAAGTAGACCAGACAAAATTAGCAGTTCCTTAAATTAAGGCTAACCTAATTGTGCATGTTAAAATGTTCCATTGTTACCTTATGCCATGGAACCGAACAAATAAAGTACACCATCTCTCTGAATACGAGTTGTGGTTTTGAGTGATGATAAACTTGACTGTCACCTTGTTGAGGTGTTTCGGGAGGGGTTTTTAGCAGGGTCTTGCTCTCCGTCACTGTCTTCGCTGCTGCTGAGCTTCAGATCTTCATGCAGCGTGCTGAAATGAGAGCAAGGCAAATGAGATCAGTTAAGGCCGACTGCAAAGAACTAGTGGCCGACGATGCATTTATCTTGTAATATTCCTATATAGAAAGGAGTACAATGAAAAGTATCATAATATATTGAGCTTCTAAACCTTTTTAATCTTGTTGAAATCGGCACATCTCAATATCTCAAGCATCTGTCGGGCTAGTTTTTTTTTTTGGTGTGTTCCACACATTGGCAGCAGTTTGCAATGCGTTTCTTCCCTCTGATGTTTTATAGCCAAATAGCATTTGCACCTTCATTCGAATGCATCTCCACTGGGATCGGACAGAGATCTCAGCCACGCTTTACATATTACATGAGAGGCGGTGTTAACCGAAATTGTCTATATCAGCAGCTATCAAAAGTCTATATTCGTCATTCAAAAGGAGAAACCGAAACATGGATATATGAGATATGAACAGATATACGAAACGTAAACAAAGCAGTGCTTTGAATATTTTGAATATCAGTTATGTTGATAACTTTCTTTATTTTAAGCAGCTCATGTTATGAAAATATTCACGTATTGGAACGTAAGATAACGTAACATTAGAACAGCCTACTTACTCGCTCATTTTCATCACTTGTGCACTGACTCGTTCACTAAACTGAACATCCAATCAGAGTTCTCCCTCTCACCGACGGCCCCGACACAGATTTAACATGCTGAATCGGGCAAACTGCTGCCAACGTGTGGAACACACCAAAAAAACTAGCCCGACAGACACTTGAGATACTGAGATGTGCTGATTTCACCAAGATAAAAAGCTTTAAAAACTCAATATATTAGGATATACTTTTCATTTTACTTATTTCTAAATAGGAATACCACAAGATAAATGCAATTTATCTACAGACAGAATCTAAGGCATGCTACCTAATATAAATCAATTAAATTTGTGTTTTTATTTATTTATTTAGTACTCCAGTTTGTAAAAACGCATTAAACATGTGCACTAATATACATTTACAATGAAAGTCAATTAGGGCTGAAATGATTAGTCGACATAATCGACAATAAAAAAATTATCGACAAATATTTTTGTTGTCGAGTAGTCGTTTGATCTCATGACCTAATGTAAGAGCCTGCAATAACGCGGTTTGACCAGTGTGGCGCTGTAGCGCAAGACTGTAATTCAGCTCTCCTGGATGCAATTCAAGAGAAGACACAGTGCTTCAGTTCAGAGCAAATGCAGCCGAACCTGAGGCTGCTGAGCGGCGTTTTAATGAATATGTAAATATATACTGCGCACTTTCCTCTCAATAACAAAATAAACGCATCAAAAACTGCCCGCGGTGAGAAAGCAGCAGTTAAGAACGCATCTGATTACAGCGATGTGGACGTTTGCATGAGCTCTGCAGTACAGTACTCCAGTAAAGTCCAGTCACGTCACGTTTATTTATATAGTACTTTATGCAATAGATAGCCTTAAATCAAGCAGCTTTACAGTATTAAACATGAAAAACCAGAGAGTCCGAATTACAACTTGATTTTCTGTTATAAAGCAGCTGTCGAGTGTGGAGCTAGCTAGTGATAAAATATTTTTATTAGTGGGGAAAAAACATTTCATTAAAGCTATAGTTTGGTTTGCAGATATCAAAGCTTGATCTAGCTCAGGACTGTTTTGATTATCATAACCCTATAAGGTATTTTAAGAGAGATTATGTTGTGAATAAAATAGTTTATCCAAAAAAGTCTTACCACTTACCTTTATTTTGTTTCTTATCCATATGACTTACAAAAAGAGATTTTAGGCAGAATGATGTGTCATTCAGCTACTTTTTCATATA